TTTGCTTTTCCAAAATCATCTTCCTTTCATGTAAGTGTCCAGATTTATTGGCAAATAGTTGTGCATGATAATTCCCTTACTATCTTTTTATTGTCCCCAGGATCTTCAGTGACCATTCCCCAGTGTCAAATTTCTGAAATTGATCATTCTTATCTTCTACTTTCAGAAATTAGATATAGAAGAGCAAGTTAAGTGGGAAGTAATCAAGAAAAAGGAAAAAAATAGAGAGTAGAAAACAATTGGCAGAATAAAGTGAAAAGCAGGCGCGCCGAGGCCAATACCGCTGGGAAGCCTCTAACCGTGCCGCTGAGAGAAGGGCCCGATGTCCTGCATCTGTGCCTGCCTGCTCAGTTTTCATTGGTTGTGAACATCAAAATGGTGCATTCCAGCTCACTGGACGCTAGCCTGGGCATCCTCACGGGCTTTACCTGTGGCCCGTGCAGCCTGGCCTCTGATCCCACAGCCACACCGTCCTGCCCTGCCCACGGCCTGAGGTCTGAAAACCAGCATTTCTCATACGCTTTCTGGTTTTAGTTTGGTACCTGTTTCTGCGTGTACCCAGGTTCGATCTCTAGGTTGGGAAGATGCCCTGGAGAAGGGAGGGGCTACCCACTCCAGTGTTCTTGCCTGGAGAAGCCCATGGACAGCGGAGCTGGGCGGGCTACAGTCCACGGGCTCGCAAGGGGTCGCAAAGAGTCGGACGCGAATGAGCGACTTTCACTTTTCACTTTCTCCGTGCTAGCTGGAAGCAGATATTACTCATCACATTATTTTTTTAAATAATTCTCAGGGAAAATTGTGAAAGGCTTTCAAATGGGCATAACAGATTAGGGGCGTCCTGTCCCTCTGGGGGTCTCTCAACCTTAGTGACCCCCGAGCTGTTGTACAGTCCCGTGAACTCTGAACTCCAGCAGAAACGCAAGGATTCAGGACTGCAGGACGCCAGCGCCCAGCGAAGCACAGCTCGCGTGGCCGGTCCGGCACCCGTGGACGTGGGCTCCCCTCGGTGTCGCTGACAGGAGAGGCCGGTGTTCCCCCTTTGGACTCTTCTTTGAACCGGTTCTAACACCTTACTGGTTCTCTCGTTAGTAAATAACAAATATCTGTTATCTCAATAAAAATAGTCACCACTTGCTCATTTGTCATGTCTGTGTGTGAGCCAGCGCCCCGCATGCCGTCAACACACACGCGCGATCCTGTGACTGGCTGAGGGCAGCACCTTCTCCCTGGAACACGCAGACGTCAGGCGGAAGGCTCTGACGTCAAACTCGAGGCAGAATTCCTCATCTCTCTGCGCAGTTCCTCACTCTCATCCAAGCGAGAGCTCAGCACCCCATGTACACACACTCCTGGGTGCTGGACGCAGCCACAGGACGGGCCCACCCCACGCACGCACACTCCCGGGCGCTGGACGCAGCCGCAGGACGGGCCCACCCCACGCACACACAGTCCCGGGCGCTGGACGCAGCCGCAGGACAGGCCTGGTCACGTGTGTACCGCCTATTACAGCCGACTCCGCCAACCTGGCTCAGTCTGAAGAACGAGGCTTGGGGACCCCTGGAGGCCTCAGGTCTGGTGGCAGCCTCCTCCAGGGCCCTGCTGGGGACCCCACGAGCAGGGCCCGGCCTCCCGGCCCAGCACTGTCTCTCCGAAGCAATGGAGGCCCCCGAGGCCGTGTCCGGCCCCCTCCCCCACTGAGCAGCGCCTGCACATGGTGGGCACCTCCCAAGCCTCGTCTGTCCCTGCGAGGTCCTCACCCCACAGGCCCCCGGGACCTCAGCTGCCCCTCAGCCCACAAAGGCCCCGGCTCAGGCACCTCATGAGGACGGGCTGCAGCACACGAGCAGGGGCACGCAGACATCCAGGCCGGGCGTCTGGAGCCTGCAGCTCCAGAATGCGCGTTCAGGCAGAGGAAGCCACAGAGCAAGACAAGGCCAGGGAGCCCGGGAGGCTGGGAGGGCGCCGAGAGGGCCTCTCCAGGGGCAGCAGCCTCCGGGACCAGGAGGGGGCAGGCGGGGTGGAGGGAGCAAGTGCAGGAGGCAGGGAGGCCCGCGCAGACCCCCAGCCCTCAGCCCGAGACAGGAAGCAGAAGGGTGGCAGGACCGGGCTCCCTTTGCAGGGCGCGCCGCTGCTCTCAGAGGACGGAGGGGGTGAGGCAGCCCGGGGAGGTTCCGGGGGGGCCGTGAAGGGCCCGGGAAGACTGCCGCTGGCCCGGAGGAGGGTGAGGCGGGGGCTAGGCCTGTGGCTGTGCTGGGCCCAGGAGTTGGATGCCCGGAGGAGGCCAGGGCCGGGACACACGTGGGGGGCGGCTGGGATGACGCCAGGCTCTGCGCCTTCTGGAAGGTGGCCCAGTCTCCGGGGTGCGGAGACCACGGTTGGATGGAACACGCGAGGACTGCAGCTCAGAGCTGAGTGCGAGAACATGGGCCGCGTTTTCTCCGGCTCCTACGTTTTCACAGGATCAAGTTTTACAAAAATGGCAGAAATTATTCCAAGGATTCTAGGACAATGAAGGTTCTATCCAGTTCTGTTTGTAAAAGCAGGTAAAGCCTCCTTTGAGAAATATCAGAACTGCATAATATAAACTCCAGGATTAAAATAATGACATCCTCCAGCCCCCTCCCCTGGACCACTGGTCACCTTGGTCTGGGCGAGGCTGCTCCGGCCCAGTCCCGCAGCTGCTGGACCGCGGGCGGCGGGGGTCACCCCCCTGACCGGGTCAGTCCAGGAAGTGAGGGGGCCTGTGCTGCTGAGGCTTCTTCCTCCCAGAGAGGCTGCGCCCGCAGCCCAGGGGCTCTCCGCCCGTCGCACGTGCTGGTACCCAGGACTGAGGCATGTGTTCCGGGAAGGAGGGGGGCATCTGGACGCTGACTTAGAGGAAAACGCCTGCCCGGCCCCTGGGCTCCGCTTCAGGGAACAGCTGCCGGGCTGCATGTGCGGCTGGGAGGCTGGGAAGGGGCGCCCCCGTGGCCTGTGTGTCCTGGGCTCAGAGCCAGGAGGAGTGGGGCTGCTGGCTCTGAGCTCCCCCTGGAGCAGCAGCCACGAGTGTCCTGAGCCAATGGCGACCCCAGGCCGTCAGTAGAGCACAGGCAAAGGGGGCTGGAGGCGAGCCCACACCTCCGGCCTGCTTCCCGCGCCCAGGGGCTCCCACAGACGGCAGCCCCCGGGGACCCTCTTGGAGGGCGGCCCCAGGGGCTCCCACAGACGGCAGCCCCCGGGGACCCTCTTGGAGGGCGGCCCCAGGGGGCTCTTGGGGATGGCGGCCCCTGGGGACCCTCTTGGAGGGCGGCCCCAGGGGGCTCTTGGGGATGGCGGCCCCTGGGGACCCTCTTGGAGGGCGGCCCCAGGGGCTCCCACAGACGGCAGCCCCCGGGGACCCTCTTGGAGGGCGGCCCCAGGGGCTCTCAGAGGGCAGCCCTCGGAGGCTCTTGGGGGCGGTGGCCCACGCCTTCACAGCCCTCCCGCCTGCTCCCATGGGGCCATGACCGCCAGGACCCCTCTGACCTGGATCCAGGCCCGCCACCCACCACCACCTCTGACGTGCTCCCGCCGTGTCTCACACCCGCCAGGGCCAGCTGTGAAAAGCAGACACCCAGAGCAGCGGTTCTGGCCGAAACCGATGGAGCAGGCTGACGACGGAGAGCGGGGAGCAGACGGCGGGGACGGGGCTCCACACGCCAGGGCCTCTCATTCCACACGCAGGCTGGGCTGCCGCTGGGGCCTGAGCACGCCTCGGAGGTCACCCTCTCCGGGAAAGGGGCCTCGCCCACCCCACTGGGCCAGCTGCCTGCCGGGAGCTGACCCCACAGCTCAGCTGGCCTTCGGCCGGGGGCCCTAAGGCTGCTGCCCACCTGGGCGGGTAAAATCGGGGAAGGACGGGCTCGGAACCCCCCGTGATGGGAACCAGGCCCATGCCCCACCAGACACTCCCCTGGCACCTCGCGCCCCCCACCCTCCTGGGCCTTGGGTGGGAACCCGTCCCCCTTGGCTGAGACCACCAACCCTCCGACGGCCCAGGCCCTTCCTGCCGACCCCAGGCCTCTAGATTCCAGAGAGGCCCTGCTACCCAGCCCAGTCCCTCGCCAGTGGCTGGAGCATCTGGGGGATGTGGACCGCCCACACCAGCAGACTGGACAAGCAGCTGTCTCCAGTGCCAGCATGGATGGCAGGAGTCGGGGGACAGCCGGACACAGACGGCCCCCGAGCGGATCCGCCGTGGGGCCAGCTCCCAGCCCCAGGGCCTCAGCGGCCTGGGGCCACCCAACTCCCACACCTCTTCCTGCCCTGAAAGCAGCCACGCCCACCCCACAGACCCGTCGCAGAAGCGCCCCACGCCGTCGGCCATGCGGTCCCCACCCGGCTCCCTGGTCTGTGGCCACGCCAGCTTCCAGGGGCCAGTCACTGGGCAGCCCTGGCCGAGCCGGACACCGCTCACCCACCAGTTGCCAGCGGCCTCTCAGACGCCCCGCCAGGGGTCCCATGCGCGCCACCCACCCGGGACCACAGGCTCCAGGAGCAGAGCCCTCTCTTGACCCTGCAGAGCTGACCCCGACATCCAGGAGAGAGCTGAGCACAGACGCGGGGCCCCACGGGGGGCCGGGAAGGGGCAGCTCGCCTGACAGGCCTTGCCTGGAGCCTCTGGCCAGAGTCCAGCCCCCGTCACCACCATGCATCCTGCCCAGACCTGGGGGCACACACAGGCTTCACTGCCTCCATCCTGCACCCAGGTCCTCGTGAAGGTCCCCGCTGACAAGCAGAGCCCCAGCCAGGGGGGCATCTGAGAAGGGAGGGGCCTCCGAGGAGGAACCAGGAAATGGGAGGCACCCCCCTCCCCCAGTGGGGTTCCCCCTCCCCCTCCCCCCCAGTGGGGTCCCTCTCCTCCCTCCCCATGCCGGGGGGACCCCCCCACCCCCCGAGGACAGCAGGGCCGCAGGACGAACCCGGGCCTCCAGCAGCCTGAACTGCTCCCTCACGTGGGCCGGTTGCCGACCGGCTCTTACCTGATAAAACTCCCGAAGCCAGTTCTTCTGGAGGTTTTCTGGCTGTAAATTAAAGAGAAAAAAGAAGACAGTCAGACCCGTGACACAGTCTGGCAGCCGTGAGCAGAGGCGACCGTGACGGCCCGTCTGCGTGCTCACTGCAGCCTGGGGCACGACGCAGGGGTTGGGGGCCCCCTCTCGCTCTGGGGCCTGGTCTGCCGCTCAGTGGGGTGAGGGGCGGGCACTGGAGCCTGGACCCACAGCCGACCCCAGGCCTGCTCGGTCCTCAGCAAGGGGGTGTCCCAGGCCAGGGCGTTGGGCAGGACCCAGCGGCTGGGGTCCCAGGACTGGCCTGAGATTGGGCAAAGAGCTGTGTGGCCCCAAGTGTTGGCTTCGGGCCTGCGGGCCCTGGGGGAGAGCTAGCACAGGGTCCCCGAGAAAATGGGGGTGTGCCTCTTCCCACACATCCTGCCGGGCTCCTGGACCCCCAGGCCAGCCAGCCGAGCAGGGCACGTGGCCCACCCAAGCCAGCACGATCCAGGTGCTGAGATGGGGACGGGAGACACACGGGGACCCTCATCAGGCAGTGCAGAGCTTCAGACTGGGAGCTGAGCAGCCCCCAGGAGCTGGTGACACCAGCGCCAGTAGCCAGCGCCGCTGGGCCACACTTAGCAACGGGAAGAAGCCAAACCTGACAGCGCCGGTCACCTGCCACAGCTCAGCACAGACAACCCAGCACCCCTCGGACACACACCCCAGATCCAAGTGGGGCTCTGGGCACCCAGGCTGCGGGTGGAGCCAGGGGCCGGGCTGACGACCGCCGGGCCCAACACGGCAGCAGCAGCGTCATGGCAGGGGCTGCCGCCGGCGGAGGTTTCCACGTGTCTCGAAAAGCAGGAAGACTGGACTGTGGGCAAACTAATGAACAAAGAGAAAAAACGGCTGCAGACCCAGAGTCTCATAGACCGCAGAGCAGGGGGCGGAGCACGTCCCAGGCACCTGCCGGACAAGACGGTGGCCCACGTCCCAGCCAGGTGTGGGGGCTTCCGGTCCCCAAGGCCAGGTTCGAGAGCCAGGCCCCCAGCCCCACGTCTGAGCAGCGAAGGGGCACGCCCTGCCCCCTTGAGCGCCCTCACAGGAGAGCAAAGAGATGGCAGCAGGAGACTGGCGGCCGGAGCAGCCCCAGCGGAGGCTGAACGTCAATCACTGGGCTTCAGGGCGTCGCACGCCCGAGTCAGGGAGAGTGCACCCTACGTCCTCGGGAGGCTGACACAGAGAACAGCGAGTGCGGGGAGTCTGTGCAGAAGCCGACCCCCAGACACGGTTGGGGGTGCAGGCGCCGTGGGAAGCAGCGTGGACTTGCCATGCGGCCCGGCGATGTGCCCATGAGACACGGACACTCATCCACAGAGACAGGGCCACGAGCGCTTGCAGCAGCTGACCAGGAGCCGAAAGGCAGGAACCACCCAGAGACCTAGCAGCTCATGGACGGAAGTAAAACTTGTGGTCACACACCACACCACAGGAGCCACTGACATGGGCCACACACAGACAGGCCTCAGAAACACCGCGCTCCATGGAAGCGGCCAGACTCCAGCTTATCCAGCACCCAGAACCGGCAGGTCCACAGACAGGGCAGACCGATGCCGGCCCCGGTATCCGAGGGCTGGAGCCGATCTGTGCTGACCACGGGGAGGGTGGCTCCGCTTTGAGAGCAGGAACAGCACTGAAGTGTGCGCCCCTCTCCCACAGACCCCGCTGACCCCCACCTGAGCCGGGGACGCAGCACACCCCACACCGCGGCCGGCACGGGGGGGCCACGGTCAGTGGGCCTCGGGCCCCGAGGCGATCCAAGTAAGAGGACTTTCACTGCAAGGCCCCCAGTTCCACCTCCAGTTCCGACTGAGGACAGAGGGGCTGGTCTGGGGGTGCAGCGGGCCCCACCAGCATTTCAGCAACCTTTCCACACCAGCGCCCGTGGGCTCAGCCTGGAGACAGAGGAAGAAGAGATTTGGTCCAGAGTCCTGGCGTCCGGGGGCACGGCCTAACGTGAGACCCCTAACCCTGCACTCTACCCTGTGGCCCCGCCCGACACACACATGTCCCTGACACCCTCCCAAAAACCCCGCAAGAAGCGGCCCTCAGTAGGAGGCGGGAGGCCTTAGGACTAGCTGAACTGCTGCCGCTGCAGGCCCCTCACCACATTCCCAACTGACCCACACGACAGGCAGGACCGGGACCCTCCATCCTGTCCCCGGCCCAGGACCCAACCCGCGTGGCTGCTCAGCTGGGCCCGCGGAGTCTCCAAGGGCAGGGACCAGCCCCTTCCTGAACCTGAGCTTCCCACCTCGGGCCCCCGGGGCTCACTCCCTCCAGGAGGCGTCCAGGAGTCGCCCCAGCTGCTACACAGAGGCATGAGCCTGGAGCCGGAGGAGACCTGGGGGCACAGAGCAGGGCAGTCGGGCCCCCGACAGCAGGCGCGACGCCCCCGCGTTTGAACCACGTGTCCTGCCCGAGGAAGGGCTGAGTGAAGCGCTAGGGCCGAAGGGCCTCCCTCTCCCGAGACAGGCTGGACACTGGCCGCAGGCCGGGCACTTGCCCAGTGGGTCCCCAGGGGAACATGGGCATGTGGACGAAGCAGGCTGCCCTGCGTGATTCTGGGCGGCGCTGACTGGAATCAACACAGTGACAGAGACCTGCCATGTCCCCTGTAATGGAAACCACATGCACAGGCCCCGGGGCTGAGACAACAGATTCCTCCGCGTGGCCTGGGCTCGGTCCCCAGCGCCACCACCTGGTTCTCAGGCCTCCGCTCCTACCATCCCTACCAGGCACTCAGAACCTGGGCCAGGTCCTCCACGGCCATGCACACACATGTGTACACACACGACACATGCATACCGAGAGCACATACACTCCCACACGTGCACGCACCTGTACGCACACACACCCACGCACCTGCACGCACACACACCCACATGTGCACACGTGAGTACACACATACATGTGCACATGCGTGCCCACGAGTGCACACACCTACACATGCAGACACATTAGTGCGTGCGCACACGTGCGTGTGTGCACATACCACCACCTGGACTTGGCCCTGTGGGGACGGAGAGCACGGCTCATGGCCCGACCTCCCGTCACAGACCTGCACAGCCTCCTGTAAGTGGGCGCATGGCCTCCAAGTGGGCGCACGGCATCCTGTAAAGTGGGTGCGCGGCCTCCTGTAAGTGGCGCGCGGCCTCCTGTAAGTGGCGCGCGGCCTCCTGTAAAGTGGGCGTGCAGCCTCCTGTAAGTGGGCGCCTGTAAAGTGGGCGCGCGGCCTCCTGTAAGTGGGCGCCTGTAAGTGGCGCGCGGCCTCCTGTAAGTGGGCGCGCGGCCTCCTGTAAGTGGGCGCGCGGCCTCCTGTAAAGTGGGCGCGCGGCCTCCTGTAAGTGGGCGCCTGTAAGTGGGCGCGCGGCATCCTGTAAGTGGCGCGCGGCCTCCTGTAAGTGGGCGCGCGGCCTCCTGTAAAGTGGGCGCGTGGCCTCCTGTAAGTGGGCGCCTGTAAGTGGGTGCGCAGCCTCCTGTAAGTGGCGCGTGGCCTCCTGTAAGTGGGCGCCTGTAAGTGGGTGCACAGCCTCCTGTAAGTGGCGTGCGGCCTCCTGTAAGGGGGTGCCCACTCTGCCACTGCCCAGAAGGCCCTGGCCACACTGACCAGAGCGTGCTCCACAGTGGCTCACGTAGAAGCCCACCTGCTCCGGGGGCCCTCGGCCCCAAGCAGCTTGTAAGTCATCTGGGCACCCTGCTGCGGCCTGTGAAACGGAGCAGAACCCTCGTGCGAGGTCGGGCCCAAGGCCTGGGGGTGGTTCAGCTAAGTCAACGGCCTAAGAGCAGCACAGGGATGCTCTGCAGGGCGGCCACGTCGGGAAGGGGCGGCAGCACCTGACTCTCCTCTAGGCAGACTCCGGGTCACCAGCTTGCTTAGATCTCCAGTATGAAACCAGTATGACTCTCAGCCCAGGCGGTTGTGGGTTCCCCGAAACCATTAACCCAACAGTCCTGATGAAAGTGCTTTAAACAAAGATACACCCGTGTTTATGTTTAGAGAGGCCTCCAGAGGCTGTAGGATAATTAAAGGGCAGCTCTAAACAGACAACAGGGGGACCAAAATTACTCTGAAACAGAAGAAATCCACTGACTGGGGACTAGAGCATCCACAGAACCCAGTCCACCTGCTCATCAGGGCCACGCTGACCCACTCGGTGACCCGACCTGGGCACTCTTCCTGGCCAGCATCTGACCGCCCAGCTGACTGCTGGCCTCTCAGCCCCTCCGGGTCCCTGTGGGTTGTCCGCTCACCCCTGACCTCCACACGGGGATGTCGCTTTCCTTTCACAAGTCCACTCCTCACGGCCTCGCCCAACTCCGGAGCCCCCAGCCTGAACCCTGAGTGCTGAGGGGGCAGCACCATGACCCCAGGCCACCATACCTTGGGCGCCTCTGCCCTCCCTGCTCTCACACTCACACACATGCTCACACACACACTCACGCAGGCACTCTCACACAGACACACGCACATGCTCACACACTCACACATGCACATACGGACACACACAGACGCGGACACACAGAGATACACACATGCCCACACACATGTTCACATGAGGACACACGGCTCACAAACTCACATGTGCACCTGTGGGGACACACATGCAGACACACACAGATACACACATGCTCACACTCACACACATGCTACTCACACACCTGCTCTCACACGCAGACACATGTGCACATGCGGGCACACACAGATACATACGCATGCTCATACTCATACACACATGTGCACCTGTGGGCAGACACACACACAAAGATACATACACACATGCTCACACACACTCATGCAGACACACACAGATACACACACATGCTCACACATACACCTACTCACACTCACATGCACACACACAAAAATACACTCACATGCTCACACACGTGCACATGCAGAGACACACAGAGATACATACACATGCTCACACACGTACACATGTGCACATGTGGGCAGACATACACAC